ACAAACAAATATTTGTATTATGTTCATAAATTAAAAAAATCTAATTTCCATATATGTTTATAAATTGTGGAAACTAAATATGTAATTGAGATTTTCAACAAATATTTCCGATATCATCGAATGAAATCTAGAAGACATCTTAAAAAATCTGTCGCTTGAGATATTTAGCAAAGATTACAAACGAATATTTAAAAATTATTCTATGCTACTAAGGTACTCGGGTAACGTAACGTACTAATTATTCTAATCGTGTTACTTATAAACAACCACTATTACATTGCAGTATGGTGCCATTCCATAAGGCGCAATACGAATAAAAAATAAAAATCCATAAGAGCACAACTTGTCTCCCTTGCATCGTCTTCCTCGATGTGTAAAGAGCTAGTTTCTTCCTCGTCGCTCTCGCGTGAAAAGCGTATCGCTATCTCGCTCGCTTTTCATCTACACTGGAACAGACCAGTGGCGACATCTTGCGGAAGCGGTGCGAACTACTCGGTCCATACTCATACCTCACTTTCAACGTTAAACGTCTTTTATTCATTAATTTTAAATGGCTAAAAGGCGTATTTTAACCAGAATTGTGCACTGACGCTTCATTCGAGGATTTGTACGTAAAACCAAAGTAAAATATGTAATAAATTACACATTGATCCAATATTGCTTGTACACATTGATGAATTTCCACCATATGTCGAAAGTGTTCCGTACTCGAACGGTTAAAAAAATGCATGATTTCCGAATGAATACCCCCTCAGATAGTAAGATACAAACGCCTAACAGTCCATACTCAAACAATTAAAGGGACTACTGCCTCTCTATGTATGTCCATCCAGCCCATGCCGAAGTAGCTCGGCCGGTAACTTATCGATAATAACGCTTTATAATTGTAATACTGCGACACTGTCGGTTAAAATCCTAACGAGAAGCCCGGAATCGAGTTGCGATCTACGAGAGGATTCGTCGTCGATAACGGCAAGTGCGGATCGACCGGTTACCGACACTTACCGACATTACAGTTTCTCACGATTCTCCGAGACTAGTCGGTAGAATTGGATAATATTTTTACAGACACTTACTCGGGTCGCGAGAAACATTGCTCGATCGACATAACAGATATAAAATAATATAGTGAAAAATCGGAGAGAAGCCAAGTCGTCGGTAAGTCGACCCCTCGGTGCTTCACAGTTATGGTCGAACCTCCCATAAATTCGTTTACACCATGGATGTAGGATATAGGATCCCTTATTGTGATGTGAAAGTGGCGTCAAAGAGTTCTCGTTAATGAAACTTTTCTCCAAACTGGGTCTACTGAATGGATTCAAACCTTATAATATAAATATAGAGGGTACAAAGGATTTCAAACTCATGAAATTTCAATTTATTTAAATTTGTTTACGGGTATTTTTTAAATTTGTTATAAAGAATTGAATTTGATGAGTATCAGGATCTTCCTTATAGCCTCCACATTCACGTAGTTAAGCCTCAAATGATTCAGAACACCCAGTTTAAAGAAAAGTTTCATGAACGATTTACTCTTCAGATGCCACTTTTACACGCCCTTAAACCCAACCATTCCCTTAGTACTCTTGTGAAGGCAGAGAAAAGGAATTAAGGACAACAGTTTGACTATTTTTTGTCTCTCTTGATGTCAAGGCATCAGGGTTTGTTGTGCAACTGTCTTGATGTCAAGGCATCAGGTTTTGTTGTGCAACTGTCTTGATGTCAAGATCTCGATGTCAAGGCATCTGCAACTGTCTTGATGTCAAGGCATCAGGTTTTGTTGTGCAATTGTCTTCATGTCAAGATCTTGATGTCAAGGCATCAGATTTTGTTGTGCAACTGTCTTCATGTCAAGATCTTGATGTCAAGGCATCAGGTTTTGTTGTGCAACTGTCTTGATGTCAAGATCTTGATGTCAAGGCATCAAGTTTGGTTGTGCGACTGTTTAACCATAAAGAAAAGGAAAAGAAATGAGCAACGAAGGAGCCCACTATTCCGTTTTTTGCAATTCTGCAGCCTTCATGGTGGGATCAGTTGTTGTGTTTTCCTACGTCCATGGTGTGCAATCTCTTATTTATATACACTGCATCGAGGAAAAGAGCGGTTCCAAACTATTTATGATGCCGCCGGTGCAGTATTAAGGAAGGTCCGACTGCATTTCGATTTCTCAGAAGCGTCTTCTGTTGGAAATTAGATTTCGGAAGACATGGCGGTTTCGAAGCGATGTTTGGTCCTGTTTTGTCAAACAGTTTGTCGCAACCTTGCGAGCCCACAGTTGAAGATGATCCAAATGTCTGGCTCGTTGTTTGCGGTGCAGGATTTCCTTTAACTAGCAATCTCGCAGTTTAGAACCTTTCCTAAAGAATGAAATAGAAAACGGGAGTACCTCCAACATCAACAATTCGATACACTTTATCAGGATTGCTGAGGATAGAATCTCGCTTTTCCTTACGTTCCTTCTCCTCCTCACTTTTCACAATGTTTCATTTCCGATTCCACGATCAGCCATGACTCCCGCTGGGCGATTTAGAACCATTCCCAGCCGTCGTTCATTGTTCAACGTCTTTCCCATGAAATGAAATTGGAGAACCTCCAGCATCAACAACTAAATCACCGACGATTCCCACGTCTGACTCTTCTTTTTCAAAATGTCTCCTTCCGGTTGAAATGTCAGTCATGACTCCCAGTTAGCGATTTAGGATCATGTCCATCCATGGTTCATTTTTGAACGTCTTCCTCACGAAATGAAAAGGAAGACACACCAACATCAACAATTAGATACTGTCATACGATTTCCACGACTGATTCTTCTTTTTCAAAATGTCTCCTTCCGGTTGAAATGCCAGTCATGACTCCCAGTTGGCGATTCAGGATCATGTCCATCCGTGGTTCATTGTTCAACGCCTTTCACACGAAATGAAATTGGAGAACCTCCAACATCACCAATTAGATCTTTCCCACGATTCCCACGTCTGATTCCTCTTTTTCAACATGTCTTCTTCCGGTTAAAACGTCAGTCATGACTCCCGGTTGGCGATTTAGGATCATATCCATCCATGGTTCATTTTTCAACATCTTCCTCACGAAATGAAAAGGAATACACTCCAACATCAACAATTAGATACTCTCATACGATTGCCACGATTGATTTCTCTTTTTCAAAATATTTCGTTTCGGCTGGAACGTTTTATTACTTCCACTTGGAGATTCAGGACCATTTTCAGCCATTCAAGACCATAATTCGTTGTTCAACGTCGTTCCCACGGAAAGAAAAGGAAAAACCTCCAACATTAACAATTAGATACCGTCATATGATTGCCATGATTGATTCCTCTCTTTCAAAATGTCTCCTTCCGGTTAAAATGTCAGTCATGACGCCCAATTAGCGATTCGAGATCATGTTCATCCGTGGTTCATTGTTCAACGTCTTTCTCACGGAAGAAACTGGAGAACCTACAACATCAACAATTAGATACTGTCCTACGATTCTCATGATTGATATCTCCTTTCAAAATGTCTCTTTCTGGTTGTAGATTAAATCGCGGCTGCCAGTAGGCAAATTATGGCCATCTATAGCCATCGTTCATTGTTCATCGTCTTCCCCACGAAAAGAAAAGGAAGAATCTCCAACGTCAACAATTACATACACTGTCTCAGGACTTCCAAAGATCGAACTCAGATGTACATTGCTTTTCTTCATCCTTTCTTTCCTTTCTACAATATTTCTCTTCCCATTTCATGATCAGCCATGACTCCTACCGGATGAATCGGGACCACTTCTAGCCATCGTTCATCGCTCAACGTGTTTCCCACCAAAAGGAAAGGGGAAACCTCCAACATCAACAATTAGCCACTCTCCTACGATTCCTATGATTGATATCTCCTTTCAAAATGTCTCTTTCTGGTTGTAGAGTGAATCGCAGCTGCCAGTAGGCAAATTAGGGCCATCTATAGCCATCGTTCATTGTTCATCGTCTTCCCCACGAAAAGAAAACGGAGAATCTCCAACGTCAACAATTACATACACTGTCTCAGGACTTCCAAAGATCGAACCCAGATGCACATTACTTTTCTTCATCCTTTCTTTCCTTTCCACAATATTTCTCTTCCCATTTCATGATCAGCCATGACTCCTGTCGGGTGAATCGGGACCACTTCCAGCCATCGTTCATCGTTCAACGTGTTTCCCACCAAAAGGAAAGGGGAAACCTCCAACATCAACAATTAGACACTCTCCTACGATTCCCATGATTGATATCTCCTTTCAAAATGTCTCTTTCTGGTTGTAGATTAAATCACAACTGCCAGTAGGCAAATTAGGGCCATCTATAGCCATCGTTCATTGTTCATCATCTTCCCCACGAAAAGAAAAGGGAGGATCTCCAACGTCAACAACTACATACACTTTCTCATTTCATTGTCAACCATTCATGATCACGATTATGGACATGATCATGACTCTTATCGGGCGATTGGGAACTATTTCCAGCCGTGGTTCATTGTTCAACGTCATTCCCACGAAAAGAAACTGGAGAACCCCCATCATCAACAATTAGATACTTTCCTAAGATTCCCACGGTTGATACCTCCTTCTCAAAATGTCTTCTTCCGGTTGAAGAGTCAACCGCGGCTGCCAGTAGAGGATTCAGGACCGCTTCGATCCGCTTTTGGGGCCGTTTAGAGTGGCGTCCAAAGGCTCGTCCAGCTGGCCTGGTGGGCTCAGGTCGCGGGGCGCGCTCCCTGGGACGTGATGGTGGAACAGGGGCGACATCTGGGGGTGGTGCGCAGGATGGGGACCCTTCACCGTCAGGTCCATCTCCGCCTCCTGGGGCCGCTCCCTGATTGGCCCGCAGTCCGTTTCCGATGGACTCGCGGAGGGCCGCGGTGGTGGTGAACCGCAGCCGCACTTGAGTCGGTCCGGCGATTTGTCGCATGCCATGGAGTACCTGAGGGAACATACAACGTCCATACACTGAGAGAAAAACAGCTGGTAAACTGAACAATTTTTCACTATTAAGGGGATGTGAAAGTGGCATCCGAAAGGGGAATCGTTCATGAAACTTTTCTACGAACTGGGTGTACTGAATCGTTTCAAATTTTACAAAGTGAACATGGAAGCTATAAGAAAGATCCCGACACTCATGGAATTCCATTTTTTATATCAATTTTTTCAAATTCCTATAAACAAATTAAAAAAAAGAATGAAATTCCATGAGTTTCAGGACCTCCCTTAAAGTCTCTATGTTCAGGTTGTGAAGTTTTAAATGATTCGGTAAATCCAATTCGGAGAAGAGTTTCATGAACGAAACCTCTTTGACGTCACTTTCACATTATCTTAAGGGGATGTGAAAGTAGCATCCGAAAGATGAATCGTAGAGGATCCGAGGGTCCGAGGGTCAAATCCGAGAAATGAGTCGTGAGAGGTATGAGGAGGTATTGCTGCTAAAATACGTGTTTAATGGCTTCTTTTGAGGATACGATTTTAAGGTACTCAAATCAGTTGTTATCCACAATACGTGCCAAATGTATGACAAACTTTAAACGCGTTTTTCTCGAAACGACATTTTTCAAGTCGGGCGGACGTTTTTCTAAAAAATTATTGGGCCTATAAAATGTCATTGATTTTCATAACATGCAATTATTTATAACATTTGACATTAAGACATTTTGAAGAATTACCGCGTTGACACGACTTATGTACGATGAATTGGTCACGATATAACCCAATAAAGGTAGTCGGGATATACCCTAATACCACCTACATTCATTATTCACAACCGATGTGTAAATGTTTATTGGTAAAAAGCAAAAAACACGTATTTCTTAATTTGTTGCGAACAATCGCATCGCGTAAGTGGAACTTAAGTAGGAGTGCTTGTTTAATGGATATTACAAAAAAATGTCACCTGAAGGGTAGTTCACCCCCTTGAGGGGGTGCAACATTGCTGAACAATATTGTGTTGACACCGTCCTTATACAAAATACGTTTATGCAAAATTTCGTCGAAATCCCTCCACTGCTCCTACGAAAAATATTTAAAAAAACCGACTTTTCGCTAAACTTTGGGGGGTTGTTTCACCCCTTAAATGTGGACCATTGCAGATATAAAAAAACACGTGTCTCTTAGATTTTTGTGTTCTTCAACATATATGAAACTCAATAAGATCGGAGGCGGACACTTGGGAATGTTCCCTTGTTAGTTCTAGTTCCGACGATAACTACATTCGTATAGATTAAAAAAAAATTTTGTTCTACCGTTTCGGACAACTACAATCGCCGCAACCCTTCCGCCCGATTGGACAAGCGTCTCCCACAACGACCTACAATAACAGCGCCTAACTTGCATAGATTTCAATAAAGAATTTCGTAAAAATTTATGTCGCTAGTTGAAACGTGTCTTAATATGCGTGAAAACCCCCGGCACTGCAGGTTCGATAGTTTTCGCAAACTTAATTCCTAAAAATTACTTAAGAAACAAGCTTCTAGACGATAATACCCCCTTAAGAGGTAATTAATGTAACTAGATTTTCCTCTCAAGGTAGAAACCAGTTTGGGAGATGCGGAACGAAGATGGGATACCCGTGCGGCGGGAGGATGCGGTAGTCCCTGCAAACCGCTACTGCGGCGTTGTCCGTCAGCTTCTCGGGTGGTGGGGGAGCCTGGGGGGCGGAGAGTGCGGCCGGTGGTGGGGGTGGCGGCGACGAATCAGGACGCTCCACTCCGGGTGGTGGGGGGCGCAGCAGAAGCGGCGCAGCGGTTCCCAACCCGAGGCACCGCACTCGCCAGGCGTCTTGCAGCAGCTGCAGACGCGCTTGTTTCCGCCACTTTGCTCGTCTGTTTTGGAACCAAACCTGTGAAAAATTGCGAATTGCATTAAAATTTTCTTTTCTTAACCCTCTCGTTACGAGCGCCGACTATAATCGACACCCATGCGACGACCTTTGTGTACGAGCTGATTTTAGTCGGTAACAAATACTGCCATATCTGCAGAGTATCTTTTGATTGTATTGACACGTATTGGATTAATCATACTAAAAGTACATTTTGATCATACGTAACACAGTTTGGCCATCGAGACGAGATGAGACGACCAGCCTTTTAATTTCTTAAAAGTTTAAGGTTAGACTTTTATTTGGAGATTTAATAATGGAATAATACTACAAAACAGTTGTTATTGAACACTTAGAAATGTGTACATACAAAAGGCAGTCAAGGAGGCGCTAGGTATATGTTTTGCCGTAGGTCATTTGCAAGCGCATCAACAAAACCGGAGCCAGCGCCAGCTCTGATGAACATTTCACATAAGATTACATAACAATCGGCAAGCCGGTCGTTGTTATAGGTATGTATATATAATATACATGTATCATAATGGTATACAGTTTGATCCGTGCCTATGCACCGAAAAACTGCATCCTTCGAGGGTTCCAGCCTCACGATTCCTGAGACCGAAATTAAATTAAATTCTAACATATAAAAGAGAAAGAGACTGGCGAGAGAACGAGGAGAGCATTCACGAACGATCAGCTGAGCGCGTAAATATTATGGAGAGTCGGGAGGCCTATCGATCGAATCCGGATTTAGCTAGTTTTTCTATCGTTAGGGACATTGCTTCCGCACCGTTTCGCACGAATTGGCGATTTAAATTTCTTAGATTATTCACTTTTCCGGCTCACTTTAATTAAATTAGGTGCAGTCCTAATCCAACTATCGCTGTGCCCGTACATACAGGTCGTCTCTCGGATCCCGACTATAGTCGGCACAGGTACATACAGGTCGTTTCGCGAACGCCGACTATAGTCGGCACCCGTACACACAGGTCGTCTCGTGGACACCGACTATAGTCGGCACAGGTACATACAGGTCGTTTCGCGAACGCCGACTATAGTCGGCACCCGTTCACACAGGTCATCTCTCGGACCCCGACTATAGTCGGCACCCGTACACTCAGGTCGTATCGCGGACACTGACTATAGTCGGCACCCGTACACACAGGTCGTCTCTCGGACCCCGACTATAGTCGGCACCCGTACACACAGGTTGTCTTGCGGACACCGACTATAGTCGGCACCCGTGCACACAGGTCGTTTCGCGGACGCCGACTATAGTCGGCACGCGTACACATAGGTCGTTTAGCGGACACCGACTATAGTCGGCACCCGTACACACAGGTCGTCTCGTGGATACCCACTATAGTCGGCACCCGTGCACACAGGTCGTCTCGCGGACACCGACTATAGTCGGCACCCGTACACACAGGTCGTCTCGTGGACACCGATTATAGTCGGCACCCGTACACACAGGTCGTTTCGCGGACACCGACTATAGTCGGCACCCGTACACACAGGTCGTCTCGTGGACACCGATTATAGTCGGCACCCGTACACACAGGTCGTTTCGCGGACACCGACTATAGTCGGCACCCGTACACACAGGTCGTTTCGCGGACACCGACTATAGTCGGCACGCGTACACACAGGTCGTTTAGCGGACACCGACTATAGTAGGCACCCGTACACACAGGTCGTCACGCGGACACCGACTACAGTTGGCACCCGTACACACAGGTCGTCTCGCGGACACCGACTATAGTCGGCACCCGTAACGAAAGGGTTAACCGAGGTCGGTGGAACCGGGCATAAATGTACTATGACTATGTTACATCCTGTATAGGGCTTACCTGAACACGTGCTTCGGGTAGGGAGATCCTAAGGGCGACCTCCTCGCGAATGAAGACGTCCGGGTAGTGAGTCTTCTGGAAGAGGGACTCCAATTCTTGTAGCTGTTGAGGAGTGAAGGTCGTCCGGTTGCGTCTCTGCAGGGGCAAGTAACACTGCTTTCAATTTACATCTTCTGTCCGTTCAATTTCACTTATATCAAGTAAGGTAAGTGTACCAAGGGCCGAACACCACTTCAAATACCTACATTTACTAAAGCGCTGTTTTCGTGCGTATGTATATATATATGTATGTATGTATGTAAAGAGCATCCCAAAATTCCCGCAAAATTTTAATTTTGCGCCATTTGTAATGTGTTGCCAACGAATAAAAAAAGACAGCGTGACAGTTGACAGTTCAGGGTTATTAAAAATGGAGCGCTACAGGAAAGAACAATGCGTTTTCATTGTTGAGCAATATTTTAAAAGTAATTAAGGTTTAGCAGCTAACAGTTCGCAATTTTCGTACAAAGTATGATCGGAATAGTGATTTAACTTCATCAACTGTGAAGAGATTAATTAAAAAATTTAGGTAGACTGGATCAATTAGTGATGTTAAACACTCTGGCCGTCCTTCAACACAAAACATCGAAGCAGCTCGTGAGAGTTTTGCTGATAGTCCAGAGACATCAATTCGGCACCGTGGTCAATTGGCCGCCCAGATCATGCGATTTAACGCGTTGAACTATTTTGTTTGGGGTTTTTTAACGTCTAAGGTTTAAGCCCACAAGCTAACTACCACCCACGCCTTGAAGGAGGAAATTGACGGCTGTACCAATTGGCCGCCTATATCATGAGATGTAACGCCGTTGGACTGTTCTCTTTGGAGTTTTCTGAAGTCTAAGGTTTATGCCAACAAGCCCACGACCACCCACACCTTGAAGGAGGAAATTGAGGGCTGTACCAATTGGCCGCCTATATCATGAGATGTAACGCCGTTGGACTGTTCTCTTTGGAGTTTTCTGAAGTCTAAGGTTTATGCCAACAAGCCCACGACCACCCACGCCGTGAAGGAGGAAATTGAGCTCTGTATCAATTGGCCGCCCATATCATGCGATTTAACGCAATTGGACTGTTTTCTTTAGGGTTTTTTGAAGTCTAAGGGTTATGCCAACAAGCCCACGACCACCATGAAGGAGGAAATTGAGCGTTGTATCAATTAGCCGCCCAGATCATGCGATTTAACGCCGCTGGACTGTTTTCTTTGGGGTTTTTTGAAGTCTAACGTTTATGCCAACAATTTGACGACCACCCACGCCTTGAAGGAGGAAATTGAGCATCGCATCGAATGGCCGCCCAGATCATGAAATTTAACGCCGTTGGACTATTTTCTTTGGCTTTTTTGAAGTCTAAGGTTTATGCCAATAAGCGTACGACCACCCACGCCTTGAAGGAGAAAATTGAGTGTCGCATCAATTGGCCGTCCAGATTATGAAATTTAACGCCGTTGGACTGTTTGCTTCGGTGTTTTTTGAAGTCTAAGGTTTAAGCCAACAAGCATACGACCACCCACGCCTTGAATTATGAAACTGAGTGCTGTATCAATGAAATTCAACCACATTTATGCAAAACGGTCATGGAAAACTTCAACAAAAGAGTACCTATGTGCCAGCAAAGCCATGGAGGCCATTTACCCGATATGCTATTCCGTGTATAACCCTATGCTGGATACTTTATGAATCAATAAGAAAATTACAATTTTTAATATTAAACCTGTTTCCTATCAAAATTACTTCTTGCATGAATTTTTGGGCACCATTTATGTGTGTCACGGAACAAAGGTAACGCTTTTTCGGCGGGTTCCGGTTCGTATTTTGAAAATCACCGATACACATCTCCACTAAATCGGGGACGAGGATGTCAAAAATTTCATCAGATCAAAATAATTTCGATCGCATGATCGAGATTCAGCGACTGTTTAATCAAACTTGGCGCAGACGAACCGGTCGCGTCGGCGCTCGGGGTATGTCTTGTTTCCTTTTATTAAAATTATATGAAAGTGATATATATATATCAAAAAGTCAAAATATATATAAAACTTTTCACTAAACTGGGTACACCAAATTATCTAAAACTTTAACACGTGATTATGGAGGCTCTAAAAAAGAACGCGCTGCCCGTGAAATTTCATTTTTCGAAGAAAAAAAATCTTTTTTTGGTTGTTATCCGAGATAAGTACAAATATTTTTTCTAAAAAAGAAATTTCATGAGCAGCGCGTTATTCTTTCCCAGACAGCATAAAATATTCATAGAATATAGAAAAGAAGTTGGAAAATATTCCTCATGTATATTAGACATTGGAATAGTATTTTAAGTGCAATATTAGATTATGTACATATAATAATGTTTCCCAGATACAGTTGAAACATTTAATGTTTTATAAATATACATATATACAATATTGGTTTACCAATGTCATTTGAAATATGGAATACTGTTCTATAAATACTACAAGTGTTAAAAATGGTTTGTAATGTAACATTGAAGTACTAAAGTTGACAATTATTTTATACATTTTCACGTACACCCTTATTTAAAAAAAATCAAAACATGCTAAATATTTCGTGCGATAATAATAATATACTATTACTTTATTTTGAATACACATACGTGCGCCAATACTTTAAATTTNGTTATTACATTGTAACAAACGTTATGTTATTACATTGTAAAAAACGTTATGTTATTACATTGTAACAAACGTTAGGTTATTACATTTTAACAAACGTTATGTTATTTGTTAGTTTTAAGTTACGTAACTGTTAGGTTTGGTGTTCACTGGGTTGTAGTATTGTATCCAACCGAATCTCCAGAAATCCTCTGAATTCATGGTTTCTGAGTGCCTAATTAACGGCAGAGGGACCCCCTGCGCCATCTGTGATTTCCAGGTCAATTAAATTTTCACTCCGAGACCTCGTATTACCATCGTTTTAGCATAGAAGCGCATACAACACTTTTTTTGCCCTTATCCCGTTCTAATGCGAGTTTATCGGCTACCAGAGTGTTGTAAATTATCGTAAAATTGTCCTGACCCTTTGAATTCTCATATCAGAGCCTTCGATAATTATATCGATCGAAATATGAGAGCTCGACGCCATTTTGGTTCTTGTCTGGGCTGAATTAGAAGATTATTGTAAAAAATTCAGATTTTGAATGTGTCAGGACAATTCTTAGATGATCAGGAGTGACGTATCAAAGTTTCGGACAGTTTGGTCTAATACCCTTAAAAAAAAGTGTTGTATTCAAATCGACCGATCTGAAGGGTGTTTCACTTCACCTTAATAAACGTCAATAATTCCAGAAAAATATTTTTGGAAAAAGATTTAATGACAACGGAACTAATCACAACATTTAATAATACCGGGCATGTAAAATATACGATGTTACATCGGTTATGTTAACAATAATAAAGTGAAAGTTTAAAACATAAAGAGTAAAAAGTTTTGCTGTTCTTCGTAGGAAAGTATAGTAAACGTAGGATGTTTCATTTGACACCTCCCAAAAAGTACAAAAATATAATAGTCCTTCCTAGATTTCCTAGTTCTGAAAAAAAAGTTAATTTTACTTTAAAAAGTATCCTAGTTCTTTCTGAACTCTGAAAACCAGTTAAAAAATAGTTTATTTAACTGGATTTTTCTCTCAGTGTAGGATCGTCATTGACAATTATATGTCAAGAAAAATAATTGAAACGTACACTGACCTGGCGGCGACGACCGAACATGTACTCGGTCAGAATGTCCGCCTGGGGCCCCAGGGGGGAAAGGTACGGCCCCGCCATGTCCCTGCGACCCTCCGTCTTCCGTCGCGGCGCCCCGCGTTCTCCTCTTGGCCGCGCCGAGCCTCTTCGCGGTTAGGCCGATGAGTTCCAAAGATTGTGGAAAAGAAGTCAAAGAGCGCTCAAAGGTCGCCGAAGATTGCCGAGGAATGCCGAAGAGCGCCGAAGAGTTCCGAAGATCGTTGGAAATCGCCGTAGAGTGCCGACGAACACCGAGGATCGCCGAAGAACACTGAAGACCGCCGTAGATTGTCGAAGATCGCCAAGGAACGCCGAAGAGTTCCGAAGATCGTCGGAAATCACCGTAGAATGCCGAAGAACGCTGAAGAATGCTGATTATCACCGTAAATCGTTGAAATTTGCCGAGAAATGCCGAAGAGCGCCGAGGATCGCCGAAAAGCGCCGTAGATTGTCGAAGAACGCCGAGGATTGCCGAAGAACTTTGAAGAACGCCGAAGATCACCGTAGGTCGTTGAAATTTTCTCAGGAATGCCGTAGATTGCCGAATGAAGCCGAGGAACGTCGAAGAACGCCGAAGATCGCCGTAAATCGTTCAACTTTGCCGAAGAACTTTGAAGAACGTCGACGATCGCCGGAAATTCTCGTAGATTGCCGAAGACCGCCGGAAATCGCCGTAGATTGCCGAGGATCGCCGAGGACCACCTCTGGATCGCGAAACAACAGCGAAGACCCCCGAGGTTAACCGAAGATTGCCGAAGCCCGCCGAAGATGACCGAAAAGCATTTCGGCACTTATAAACCGAATATCTCCGCGATGTGCAATCGCCCTATACAGTTTTTATATAGTTCAAAGCGACTCGAAACGTTCCACGGTGGCGGTCGACCCCAAATAGTTCCGGATGGTCCTGGAGGGTTTAGGGTGGTCCGGGTCGTGGCGTGCGACTGACTGGCGGTGCGCGCACCGAGCGGAACGACCCCCGAGTGACGGGGGTTGCTCGGGGGTGGTTTGCGCCCGATTGGTCGAGCGCCCGGTAGGCGGCGCCGCCTGCGGGGTTGCACACCCCCAGGAGGGGACCCGGGGGGGGGCGTAAGCAGATTCCGACCGCTTCCACGGAAACCGCTCGACGATCTCCGCGAATCAAGTTCGAAACGGCTAGAAAGTGCGAATAACGTTATACGAGCTATTCTTTTTTTTTTTCAGAGTTGCAAATATTGCATAACTTTCGGTAATGCATTATTACACGGAGAGGAAAAAGTTGGTATAATTACTACAGTTGGGATAGATATAACAGCAATCGCTGGTAAATATAAGGACAAGGTTCTATAAAGTAACGATTACTCTGCTAAAAATGTCACATGTACAACTTCATTGTAGTATACGTTATTACAAAGAATGATTACAGTTAAAACGATACGATAGGTATATTTACAATCGTGATAGCATAAACTCGTCAACTGAAGCAATAATTACCACATAACATGTGTATATAACGTTCGCTTTACTGTTCATACATGTAGAAAGTAACACGCAGCACCGCATTTATTACCGCTGGGGTAACTAGAATATACAATAGCGACATGTGTATATTATAGTCAGCTCATGTAAAAACTACCATTGACAAACGTACATACAATTGGTGCTACAGCCGCAATGGTTAAAAGGACAAAAAATTGTAATTATATATACAATAATTGTTGTTAAGGTTACAACGATACTTTGACTCGCGAGCATATGTAATGATTACAATATTATTTTTCTGCGTGTACGCGGAGAGAAAAAAGTTGTTATAATTACTACAATTGGGATAGATATAACAGCAATCGCTGGGAAATATAAGGACAGCAGGTCTACAAAGTAATGATACTCTGCTAAAAATGTCAAATGTACAATTTCATTGTAGTACACATTATTACAAAGAATGATTACAGTTACAACGATACGACAGGTATATTTACAATCGTGATAGCATAAACTCGTCAACTGAAGCAATAGTTACCACATAACATGTGTATATAACGTTCGCTTTACCGTTGATACATGTAGAAAGTAACACGCAGCACCGCATTTATTACCGCTGGGGTAGCTACAAAATACAATAGCGACATGTGTATATTACAGTCAGCTCATGTAAAAACTACCATTGACAAACGTACATATATGTCGCCGTAGCTGCACGTAAAAAGTATCATTGTAAACGGTATCCTTTCCTGTCGGGAACTCGGGAAATCACTACAGATACAATACATTGAAAACGGTAAATATTTGTTTCATGTAAAGCTTACCTTGGAACGATTGTTGTAGGTTTTCTAACCTCGACTCCTGAAGTTCATTTTTCACAAAGTCATCCATGTAGTCACTCAATCAAACTATTACAATGAATTGAAAAAGTAAAACCCGATCTTAAATTAGATCGAAAACCGAATTTCGAAGAGGACCGAATGATGCGGCTACCGAAGTCACAATGAATCTAACGGTTCGCAGGACTGCGCAACCTAATGCATCTCACGACCCGAATGCTTCTCGCGCTGTGTATTAAACTCACAATAGGAACAATAACAGTTCATGCTTGTAAAAATTACTAGTGCTACGGTATATTATACGGTTTTCAATAGAGTACTTGTTTTTATATTTTACAACTGTGATGGTCATTTTTACCCGTGCCTTTACACGTGCCATTTTAACTTGCCAATGTTATACATGTACCGCTGACAAATGCAAATATAACTACAACTCATTTACAAGAGTTCTGCAGTTGCTGCTACAGCTGCAATGGTTAAAAGGACAAAAAATTGTAATTACGTCGGCAATAATTGTTGTTAAGGTTACAACGATACTTTTACCCGCGAGCATATGTAATGTGATTACAATATTATTCTTCTGCGTGCAGACTCGTGGTCGAGCTTCTTCTTCGACCCCTAATTTCGACAAAGATCGAATGGAAAGCTACGTGTCATTCTAACAGGAGTTAAAAAGGATTGCAAGGTTTTCTCTCAACGAAATAAGCCCGGCGAGAGCCATCAAACAACATATTACTGCAATAAATGCCCCGACAAGCCAAAAACGCACCTAGGCGATTGTCTTATAAAATACCATACAAAGCAACGATACAGTCCTTAAAATTTAACAAATTTTCTTCTTTCACACGTAAGTATACATATGGACCGTTTATTTTGAAAGTGGTGCCAGTCCATTTTCTATTGTTTCGAGAAAATTAAATGTTAGCAGATCTGACAATTAAAAAATATAGGTTAATTATGTGAAGTCTGGGAATGTTTGTACTAATTTATCAATATGTAATTTGATTATATAAATTTCTTTAAAATAATGTATATTTCCAGGCTTCAAATGGACTTACACCACTTTCATAATTAGTCAATTGTAAATATCATTTAATTTCAATTTTGAAATAACAAATATCACTTAAAATATATTTCATGTTAATCCAATCTTGTTGACAAATAATAACAAGAAATAAAATAGAATTATTATTTTTTATTTTGAACGTCAATTATATTTATATAATGTTAAACTTAACACAAGATATTGGTTTTATTAATTATTTATGCTCTTCATGGAAATTGGACTTACACCACTTTCATAATCAATGGTTACGCAATTTCTTTTACCGGCCAATTTTAAATTGAACAAAGCATTGGCATTTTTTAAGATATTAAATACTAACTAGTTATAAACAAAAAGTTTGCACTAAATTAAGCATAAATTACGTCTTATCTCATTTTTTTTTTAAAAAGGACTTACACCACTTTCAAAATAAACGGTCCATATAATACTAAAATATAATAGTTTTATGCGTTCATTTGTATTTGAAATCGTTTTGACGAAAAAGCCCTTGAGTGTAAAGGGTTAATAATGGAAAAAAAAATCCGTTAATCAGTAATTTGTAATGAGTACACTGAGAAAAAAATCTAGTTAACACGTTCCGTGATACGTGTACTATCAATGGTACATGTTTAACCCTTTGAGTACGGAACTCGTTCGACATATGGGCGAAATTCATCAATACGTGCAAGCAACTTTGGACCAAATGTCGGACGCCTTTAGTAGACAATTAGTTAACTCGGTTCGTTTCGGCTCTGCACGAAAAGTGTTAATTTAAACATTTTTTAAGTTGTCATAGTTCAAAAAAGACTCGGATACTTCTTATAGTACAATTAACTTTTTATCTAAATTAGGAAATCGGGTAACAGTTACAATAGTTCTCTACCTTTTGGGAGTTGTAAAATGAACTATTCTATGTTTACTATACTTACCTAGGAAGAATACCAAAACTTTTTATTATTTATGTAGTGAAACTTCACTTTATACTTTGTTAACGTAACTGATGTATCGTCGTATATTTTACATGCCCAGATAGTATTATTAACCGTCATGAATAGACCTGCTGGTCATTAAATCTTGTTCCAAAACTATTTTTTTGGTATTTTTTGTACTCAGTGTGTTTTTTCACTGAAAGAGCTTCAACACACATTATCCACAACAATAAGCGAATTAAAATTCATCCTGACCATTTTTCGGTAAACGTTCAGACGCACAAGGATCTCACAAAGGATCTCTGAACCTCCTCAACGGTGCTAGATTTTCCTATTATACTTCCCGCTAGAATATTTTTCGTCCATTTCCACTGTATTGCTTTGTCGCTAGAAAAAAATTTCCTCAATAAATCTTATCCAGAACAATAAGCGGAACAGAATTCATCATAACCATTTTTCGGTAAACGCTAAGATACTCAAGTTCCTTGCGAAGGATCTCCAAACCTCAACGGAGCTGGTCAGATTTTCCTATTATACTTCCTACTGGAACCCTTTTCGTCCATTTCCACTGTACTGCTAGTCGCTGGAAAAAACTTTGATTAACGAATCTTATCCAGAACAATGAGCAGAATAAAATTCATCATACCCATTTTTCGGTAAACGCTAAGATACTCAAGTTCCTTGCGAAGGATTTCCAAACCTCCTCAACGGTGCTGGGGAGATTTTCCTATTATGCGTCCTACTAGAATCCTTTTCGTCCATTTCCACTGT